ATTAGGTACTTAAATTTAGCCAACAAAGCCACATGCAGAACATATATATATATATATTAGAAGATTCCTAAATAATAACAATTTGATTGAACTTTTTCTAAAATGCCTTACGTTTTTGTGTGATATTTGATTTTTAAGAAATGTAGCACGTTGAATAAATTGATAGTTAAAAATCTCAAATGTACTGTATTTTTGAAAAGGTTAATATGAAATTTTATTAAAGTGTTTTGTTATAATAAAATCTAGAATTCTTTCCCAATTTCAAAAGAAGGATGTGTGAAAGATTAATGCATGTAACAAATAGATTTTTAGAAAAATTGTCATTAGCATAACATGAGGAGTGTAAAATGGGACGATCTTTATAATGTAATATAATGCAGTTGATAATCATCTGAAAAAGAGCCCATGAATGGTAAGACTGCTGAACACTGATAGTTAGGTTTATATCCTAACTATATATTTGGACACCTTTTGCTTAGTTTATCTGGTCTGATGATCTCTTTAAAATGGTAAATGAAAAACAAAGTATTTGTACCCAATATTAAGTCTGATCTGCAAACAAGATTACTGTGGCTGCGGAAAGCGACATGCCAGTGAAATATATGTGTCGTGTAGATATTACACAAAATACATCAGCTAGAGTACTCTTATCAAGCAGTATGGGGACAGGTACCATATAACCAAATATGTACATATCAAACATTTGTAATTATGTATTTTAAAGTTATAGGCTTCCAATACAATTAGAATTTATATTTCTGTAATACTTATGAGTCTTCTCTGAAACATACTTATTTTGCTTAAATCTACTTCCAAAGTACTTTATTTTGATACAACCCATGGTTTAGAAAAAATAATGTTTCTGACATTCAAGAGCAGATAAAAGTATGTCATACTTAACTGACAAAAACATATAAAATTAAAGTAAGGCAAAAATAGCAGCTTAACATAAAATCTTGTGTTAGTTTTAAGAAATAACTGACGTAGGTCCCTCTTCTTCAATAAAAATGAAAAAAGGTTTTTATTCCTGACCTTTTGAAGAACAGATATAACACTCAAAATTAATAAGAATTATATAAATTCTGCATCATTCTAAGCCTTCTTGATTTATTTTAATCTTGAAATTCATGACCTGACAAATTTTGTGACAACTATATATTTTTGAGAACCTGGGACCAACAGGTGGATTTGTTCGAACAACATTCCAAGTTCTTCGATTACATGCTCGAAATGACTCTGCATGAAAAATTTACAAATTAAATTCGTCAAAAGCTTTAGAAAGTGAAATCTAATGCACTCAGTAAGTTTGTTCTTTCTGTGTGAGGAAATCAGCTTTTTCATTACCATCAGTTCTACAATGGAAAATGAGCCTGCTTGGCAATTAGTCTGAGTTGAAAGTGTCTTGAAATTTCTAAAGATGTCTGCAAATATAGCTTTGATATATATACAAGTGAAATCTATTTAGCCTATTCTTAGTATCAGTAATATTAGGTATTTGCAACATTAAATGGGATACAAAAAGTCTATTATGATATCTTCAGTGATGAAATGTACGAAGTTTGCACGCGTCCTTTGCTCAATTTGTCGTGCTTGCAAAACCCATGTTATTTTTGTTTGCTTATTACTTATTCCAGGGAAAAAAAAAACGTCTTGCATGTTGTAACCGTACTTTAACATACATTAAATTTTACATTAAAACATTAAACATGAAATATAAATCAAATTATTTTAGGATTTCCATCGAGATGGTTTTAACATGAAAACTGCATAATGGAATTCCTAATAGTGTAAAGGAAGGTATAGTTATTATGAAGACTATTAGTATTAATAGAGGTGAAGCTAAGCAGGCTTTAAGCTTAACGAAAAGTGTTTCCATAATAAGACCTTCTTTGACTCACATGAAGTTTTAGATTTAAAAACAATGCTAAATGGGGAAACCTTTAGCAGAATAGAAACTTTTTGAAAAATCTCTGCTGGTTCTTAAAAACCTTACAAATGATCAACTGATGTGAGAAGAAAAGTGAGGGGCAACTTCTGGCACAAATTGTGCACATCATGAAATTTATTTGCTATTTTATGTAATTTCCATGATATTTCTTATTTAATTTTTTTTCATGCACAGTTACTATTTGTTTTCTATTTTTGTAAAAATTAAAACATTTAAAAATTAAATATAATTTGGTATTTTGAATTTTTATAAAATAAAGTGTGTGCTCTTTGTAATATTTTAATAGCTCATCACTAGATATTTTAATCAAAATTTTATCTAGGTTGATAAATTACAATTTAATATATATTGCTCAAAATATCAGATTATGTAGCATAATATGAATATTTTTTAATAAATTTTTAAACTCTGTAAATTTTCTTTTTTAATACTATATTTTAAAATATTTTTTGTGCATGGATCATATGGATAATCACAAAATATAACTTGAAGTTCAAAATTTCAAGTGTTTGTTTTCTATGTATAAGTAAGTTTTTTTTATCAATTTAACACTTCATCAGTCATTTCTTAACATATTAAATATAGCATTGGTCCCTAGGAACCAACCTTAAACCAAGCAAAATAGAATTGTTATTTAACATGTTAGATATTAGGAAGATATAACATTAATGTAAACCATTGTAAAACAATAAATGATTATTACTAATTATTGTAACTAATGTCATTAGCATAGTGTGGATAAGTGGAGTGGATAAGACTAAGAAGCACTAATAGTTTGAACACTGGTGGACAGGCTAGCTGCATGGGATATTTCTCTTGTGCCGCATGAACAGAAGTCATATTCTTTTAAACATATACTTCATGAAAGTCTTCTACCCTTAAGAAGATACTGTTTTTCTGCTTTGCAATAATGAATTAAATAAAAAACATTACTACCATTGATACAGAACTTTTTTAAAAAAGAAAGAAAACACTTATACAATCTTCTTACCAATTGAAATATTTTTATGCGTGCTCTAATATGTGTAATACAGAATTGTGAAAATTCACCACAATTCCACAATCAGAAATGATAGCAAATTATAGGAACATAGGCAGCAGATGTGTAGACTACAATATACAATTTGTTGCTCTTTACAAAATAAAAATTAGAGGCATCCAATGGTGATAGCTGTTGTTGGAATATTTTATTTGTACAGAAAAAGAAAATGCTTTGGATTTCAAGAAAACTTATACAGAATTTCTGCTAGGGATTAATACATGACATCTGAAATCATAAGCAAGTGGAATTAAAATTGCAGCTTAAAGACTGCGTGATTTCCTAAAATATAATTACAAACCCTGGAGACTAATGAAGGTGGTAAATTACTGCATATTATTCAGAAAAGTCTTGGCAATGAAAGAAAATAATGTACATAGTAACACATACAGTGTAATATAAAGTGTAAAATACCCCACAGATTCATCATGAATATAAATTACTTGATTGTGCTAATGTTCCAAGACTTTAAAAATTACATCTTTATTTTTACGTAACACAATGAAATGAAACAGAATTATTTCGATGGAGAATAATGCATAAACAAGTTTCATGTTAATTTTTTCAATTATTTTTTTTCTTTTGGGAGTTACTGGGTTACCTGATTATTGGTCACTGGCTTACTTGGGTTATTTTATGAGTTATTCCACATCAGCATTTTAATATACAGATTCTCTGAATAATCATTGTATTTTCTATATTTCAGTAGGAGCTATTGTTAATGTGATTTTTGCCTACGGAAAAATATACAAAAGAGAAATTTCTAAAAGTTTTAAAAGTAGTTTAAATAAATAAATAAAAAAAAAAGACACATTCTTAAAATATTTTTCTTTGTTGAATTTCACGATGTTTAGAGTACATGAAATAATATGAACCTAGATATCACCAAGCATTTTCAAATACACAAAGAGCCCAGAAATTTCACAGTAAGTAATTTTTATCAATTATTATTTTTACCCTTTATTTAAAAGTAAAGAAAAAGTTATTGGGTATCGAGTTAGCAAATTGAGTAGAATAAAAAGTTGTATTTGTTTTCGAAATTGAGATTTACATACTTCACTTATCGCTTCTACAGTAAATTAAATATTAAATCATATCAGGGTAACCACGAAAATAACCAAAAACAAATGAACTACTTCTACCCAAGAAATACGATACAAGTTACCATAACATTAACAACTGCTTTCTTGTATACCAGTTTTGCACAAAAATTGCGTTTGGCGATCGGAAAATGACGCCAAAAGTTCCTGGCGTAACGGTTGTCTCTGATTGGTTGAATTTCTCCAGTTCCCGGCGGGTTTTAGCCGCCCGTCATTTTGTCTGTCTACATCTGTCTGTCTGTCTATGAATAATCCCTTATTAGGGGAAATGTATCACGCTGTCCCCATTGAACCATAGCCTGGTCTACCATAATTGGCTGTTGCTCCTTTTTTGGCCGAACAATATCCAAATTGTTTAACGTTTTAGTAGTACCATTAGCACCGTTTATCATGATTCTTCTTCTCACAGATGTGTATGTGGTGTACTAAGCAGTTGTTTACAAAGTACTTACAAGGCGTGCAAGAAAATGTTAATTGATTACTTGCAATGCACATAAACAGATTCTAAAAAAGTATAGAATAAACCATTTCTGAACATCGAACGAGTACAGGAAAGCATAATAAAAGAAATGGAAATGGAAAATAAATCAAAGCATTAAAAATATTTACAGGTGCAGGACATGTATTTTTACTTAAATTGTTAATAATTATGTGCAGTTTTTAATTAACACTCTTTGTAATAACATTGCAAACGCAAGGATATTTTGACAATATCCTTGTGTACACCGATAGGTTACTACGAAAAATCCTTTAACATGGGAAAAGTATCACGGCTGCCTCTCTAGAGGTAAGGCACTATAAGTACGTGATCGAATGACAACCATAGACCCGAAATCTAACGCCAAATAACTTGGCGGAAAAGTCATTGGTAGATATTTCTACAACCTAGAAAATCTGGTAACTCCTCCTAATTCTTCCCTCTTGAAAATCTTTTGCGAACAATGACTGGTTGGTTTTGTTATTCGCTCGAGAAGACGTTGAAGAATGTGATATAATTTTGAGTTGATATTTTGAGAAAATTCTAAGTGTAAATCCGAAGTTTTAAAATGGGGAAAAGAGATACACGATATGTAAGTTTTTATATTTTAGTATGAATATCAGCTTTTTAATAGGGAGAGTACTGGATTCTAAAGTTTGGTAAAGTATTGGATTTTTTGTAGAATTTTCTGAAGCTGCGAAACCTTTTACCTGGAAAAATGCATGTTTGGTGTTATTGTCAATATTATCAGTTCTGCCATGTATTATTTTATGCGTTTTATGCCATGCGTTTTATTTATATGTGTTAATGTTCAGAAGTGTATCTGTACATAGCGTAGCATTTGGCATAATTGGCGTAGCATTTGATGATTATGTATATATATATATCTTATAATGAAAAAAAAATGTGTGTAACGTAAAAAATAAAATACTAACTTTATTCCTTTAATTTAATTATTATTCCTTAGCTCTCTATTTTAATTTTGATATTTTTCCTTGCCATCTTTTACATAGTGCAAATAGTTTTTTAACTTTCAAATTTTAATTTCTATATTTCTTCTTTCTATCCTTTACGTTACGATGTTGCTACACCTAATTTGAAAATAACAGTGTAAGTTGCAAACTATAATTTTACTATTTGAATTAAGCTTCGATGTTGGAATATCATGCACTTGCTTTAGTTAATCTTTGAATTATGGTAACTTGGCGAAAATTTGGCGACCAACCCTGCTACAGCAACCTGCTTGTTTTTGTTTGGACACCATTTTGTTTTCACGAAGTAAAGGCATTTTTTTTTTTCCCCTTCAACATTTTTTTCCAACAATCTGTTAAGTTCTAGCATAAGCCGAATTACGCTTATGCTAGAACTTTTATGGAACAAAAGTGCTTAATCATGACGAACATTAGGTGCGAAATTGGGAGAAAGTGCAGAATCGCAAACTGGTTGCCGCGTAATGTAAGTAGGAAAGTATGTAAGCAGGAAAGTATAAGCAGCGTGGACATTTTTGCATGGCAGAAGTCGGGAAAATAGGAACGTAGTTCCTCGAGCAAAATTTATACTGTGTAGATGCATATGTGAATCTAAGGTGCGATTGGTTAATTTTACTTTTAGTTACCTTTACCTTTTCCAAGCAGTATTATGTAATTGAGAAAGATCTCAAAATTTTGGAGAAAGGATAAATTTAGGGGGGAGAGCACCAAATCTTCAATGTTAATTTTGAGATCACCAATTATTCTTAAAGCAGCCATTGTATTTTATTATATATTACATATTTGTCTATTGCTAATAGCTAATTGAAATAATAAATTTTTTGAAGGCATTTATGAATCCCATTGCAATGGCCAGAGCACGAGGACCTATATCTAGTAGTGGGCCTTCAATTAGAGATTATTTAAATAGAGAGCGTCCTTCATGGTAAGTGCATGTATTTTATAACAATTTTGTGATCATTTAGGTCTGACTAAGATGTAAAAATAATGGCGGATATTGTATCTCTTTCTTTCTTTTTTTTTAATATAAAATTTGTTTGAATGTTTTGATTGGTACTTCTATTAAAGCAGTCCACACTGAATCACTGAATATGGCAAACTTTATAACTCATTATAAAAATTTCAGATACAGTCAAAAGTCGTTAATTCGGACACCCATAATCCGGACCTCAAAGCTACAAACTTTTATGCGTGCGTGCAAGACCTTTACGGCTGCGAATACGTGTGTGCGCATGCGCATAATACACTTACGCATGCGCGTTTAATGTATAACGGACGGTATAAGCTAAGCTAAAATTATCTAAACCAATTAATTTTGTAGATTGCATTGTTCCTTAATCTTCGAATTGGATCTGGCTTATTATTTTTTGTAGACCGTTTTTGTAGCAATTTTATAAAAGTAAGCTTGAACTTTCGATTATGTCAAATAGAATTTCCGATATATATTTACTAATATGTAAAGGATCTACAAAGCGAAAGTATGTTTCGAAGTCCATTAAACAGAAAGTGAAATTGCTGCAAAAAATGGATAAAGGCACATCCTTAGATTATCTAATCATTCCAAAATATGTTTATCAATTTCACGCTGCTCTGCAGGGGGAGGGAAACGACGCGGCGCGCAATGAATTGAAAGTTGATCTGTCAGCACTATCCTTATCTTCAGGGCAGATATTTTTATTTTATTTGGCTTACAATTCCTTACTAAATGTAGTATTTCATCTCGATGTACTCCATCTTTGATATGATTTAAATCATGTTCCTCCTCATTATAATTCGCTTCCGATAGTGAAGAAAATGACGCAGAGGTTATTGAAAACGAAAAAGTTTCGATTGACAAATTAGTCGGTATTCTCGTCACAACAATTATAGGACTTGAACAGCGGAACTTTGTAACTAAACAAGAAATTATGTCTGTTTAATAGAATTAAAGAGAAAGTATTATCACATGAAACGAAGCAACATAAACAAGTTGCATTGAAAGAAATGTTTAATAAAGTAAACAAATAAATATAAAGCTTTTTCTTTTGTTAAATATTGATACCCTTCAGATCATAATTGTTCTTTATTTCATAAATCACGGTTTCAACTTTTTAATTTTATAATTTCTGCATGCTATCTTACCAGATTTAAACTGATGATCAATAATGCAAAAAAATCGATAATCCGGAATCGCCGAAGTCCCGACGAGTCTGGATTAACGAATTTTGACTGTATCAGATGTTAAGATTTAAGTGTTTTGACAAAAAACACCTGTTGTATATATATATCTTTTATTTTGCTTCAAAATCTGTTATAAAAGGTCACTTTTAAAATACCTATCCGAAAAATATTTTGCAGGAGATAAATGAAAATACATTTTGATCCTTGATGAAGCCTAAATGATTGTTCTTTTTAAAAAATGCACAGATACTGTTCTGTCAATGAAAAGAAAAGGTACTATTCGGTTTCGAGGGACGTAAAAAATCATCAAACTATTGTTGATGCCAATGCTGCTAAAAATAATTGCAGCAAGAAAAATAGTATAATAGTAAATAACTATCTAAGATTGATGTTTTAATTTAGATGAAAGGTTAATTTCATATAATACTTTTTTATTATTGTAATTTATATGAAAAAGGCTAAACATGACTGAATGGAAGCATAAGAGTAAATAACTATTTCAGATCATTATTATAATTTATATAAAAATTGCTAAACATAACTGAATGGATGCCTGCATCGCTATTTTGCTACCGACTTATCGTTAAAGCATAATTTCATCTCGTTGATTGTTCAAACATAATTCTCTATAATGAATAAGGCCTTTTCTTTGAAAATATTCTTGGTAAAGTGCAGAATCGCACACTTATTTGTTTGCTGCTTTTTACAAGGGTAAAAACAATTGAATTTTTGTCAATTTTCTTTTACTTTTTAAGTGCAAATAGGCCGATGTGTACATAGATAAAGTCAAGGGTGTGCGCAGTACCATTTTTGTGCAATTCTAGGATTTTTTTTAAAGTGAAAATAGGTCGATCTGCACATGGATACCGAGTATGTGCAATTCTTAAAAACGCGTCAAGCAGTTGGTGATTCTGCATTTTACCCAAAATTCTATTGCCGACTTTTCGTCATGGTGTAATTCCCAAATTGTTAAATGCATAGGATATCAAAAAAGGATTTAAAATCAAAAAAGGATTTAAAAATTAAACTAGTATGTCAATGACGTCTTAAGAAATATAGAACTATATAAACTTACGCAATCTGAAATCAACGCGTACGCTAGATTTGGTGCGCTGTTAAATGGGTGCATTTGCTAGATTTGGCGCTTTTGCGCATACATTTTTGCTGCAATTTTTTTACGGCCCTCATAACCGAATAGTACCAAATAAAGTTACAGTAAGGGATTTATGTGTGTTGCAGGTTCCTCTTATGATGGAAATGGGGAAAAAGTGTAAAAATCATCTCTACTATCAGAGGAAGTTTTATGACCAATATTTACAAATAAAATTTTATTTCTTTATTCCAATGACTTTCAAACAATGAAACTTTATCAAGACAAAGCAACAAGTTATACTTCGGAAGGTATGACTGCATTTTTTGAAAAAAAATAAGCCTGTATAACTGTTGCATATGTATTATTTCAACGTATTCCTGTGAAGTCTCCTGATGTGTTGCATCTGGACTAGTGTAGCTTTGGTCTCTTGAAAAGAGTTCTTTCTTGTCAAATACTTTCCAAGTGCAAACCCACCATGATTCATGAATTCTGCAAAATAGTGGAAGAGGAATGGAAAACAGTACCTGTGGAAATTTTACGAAAAGCCGTTTCATCATGAAAATCAGGATGCTGACTTAACAGTCCATCAAAAAAGAAAAGACAAAAAAAAAAAAAAAAAAAAAAAAGCTATCAGATCAAACATTTAAAAAAATACTGTTTACATTTTAAACATCTTCTGTAGAGCTACCTTAATTATTTGTTATTATATATATATATATATTTGTTATTATATATGAGACCAACATTGAGACTAATAAGAAAATAGATGGATGATAGAAACTCCTTTCATCGTTATCAAATGCAGGTGGTCGGTAATGAAGATTCATTTTTGGCATAGTCTATTTTACATTACGAATAAAAATGAAGATTGTCATAAAATTAGTCACATAATAACTTGATGTTTACTTTTTGTACAAGTTGTGATTTATAGTAAAAGCATAATCACTAAAATAAATCCGCGAAAGTCTGTGGTCATAATATGATAAGTAAAAAATACTTTTGAAGTTTTCTGGCTTTCTTTTAACTTTTTGAATATTCTTTGTAGTGTTTTAAAATAAAATGTTGTACCGCAATTTTATATACCGTACAAAGCCCGAAATCTGGATGTCCATTATCCGGAATGATCTAAAATTCGGACCTCAAAACCACCAACAAAGTTTTTCTCGTAGGCTTTATGCATGCGTATTTAATTCCCCTACCGCCGCGCATAATAAAACATCTGGAGAGTCCCGAGTCTTAATTTTACTTCGACACTAAATAAAATACCTCGTTACTAAAGAAACAATCATTTTAGCATAAATTTGTACGATCAGTAATTTGGCTCCATTGCTATGTATCTACTTGGCACACATCTCAAACCAAAACATTCCACATAGATTGATCATTGATCTGACGCCAACCTGGCGAATCATTGTTATTGATTATACTTTCCTTTCATCACCACATCTTTATCAACACATGACAACTTAAGTAATGACTCGTATAGCGATGACATAAACAATTTTTTTATGTTAGTAATTGAATAATAAAGGATTATTGTAACCTTTTATGTTGACATTGCGCTTGGCAGTGATTACAGATTTAAGTTAAATACACTAAAAACTGTTGACTAGAAAAAATTTAACAAAAACTTTTTTTCATATGCCATAAATAGATTTTATTTATGATACTCCTAGATGCAAAGATTACATTTAGGGCAATTTGAATTAAGATTAATTTATTTGTTTTATGATAAATCCTGAACTAGCACCAGGGCTCGTATGGCCGCACCAGTTGCAGAATTTAGGACTCCCAAAGACTGCATCAGGCAGTAAGATATCTAGCGCCTGTCCTCTTATTGAGGCAGGCTTAAATATATGCGGGAATTTATTTATTCAGAACTCTGATAAGCCTTAAGTATGTGCAAGAAATATACATAAGTATAATAAATAACTAAGCTAATACAAGTCAGGCTTAATTGTCTCAGTGCACGATAGAAGCAAGATAAAATTTAACAGAACAACTTGTCTTTAGTCCACAAGCTCATGATGCATAGCCAAATATGTATAGTGAACGATAGCTAAATTTGATGATGATAGCCGCAAATTTTAAAGGTTTTTGGATATCGCAAAACAAAGGTGAAATTTTCAGTTAACGGATTTTGTAAAGAAATGTGGAGAAGCAGTAATAAATGAAGATGATATAAAAGAAGTTTCTCATTGTGATGATAATGCTTCTCAATCATCAATAAATTAATGAATGGCGAAATCTGTAGTATGGTTCTAGATCCAGAAAATACTGCTACCGATATTGAAAATAGTTACAGAGAAGTTACTGAAAACAAAAAAATTTCGACTGACAAGTTAGTCAGAATTCTTGACACAGCAATTACAGGACTTCAACAATGTAAGTGAACAAGAGGTTATGTCTGTCTACAGAATTAAAGAGAAAGTATTAGCACAAAAAACAAAGCACCTTAAACAACTTACATTGAAAGAATTTTTTAATAAGGTAAACAAATAAATATTAAGCCTAAATTTTGATTTAGATCATAAATAAATCATTATTTCATAAATCACGATTTCATATTTTTAATTTTATAATTTCTACATGCCATCTTACTAGATTTACACTGATGATCTAATATCCAAAAAAATCCCAAATCTGGAATCGCTGAAGTCTTGGCAAGTCTG